CCCATCCCGTCCCCCCAAAACCCGTCCCATCCCGTATATATAGTGGGACGGGATGAGACTTATTTTTGTCCCCCCAATCCCGGTCCCGGCAAAATCCCCCCAGCCCCGTCCCCCGTCCCGTCCCGTCCCCCAGTCCCCGTCCCCGTCCCCTTGCCAGCCTTAATATTGCACTTCTATGTGATTTCTTCCTGAGCTGCCTTAATGTAAATAAAAGTACATGCCTAGGTTTTGATTGATCACATCAAAGTATGAACTTAGTTCTTGATTGTACTGAGGTGGCTATAGTTGTTTAGTCTCCTGATAACTCAGATGCACTCTGTTTCTCTTGATTGACTCTGGAATAGCCGGTTCAAACATGTGAATGTTTTTTATTTTAACCTCTGCACAAAGCCATACTTTATATAACATAGTTTCTAACATGAGAGTGGCACATGAACATGATTGAAAGCCTAAGGAAAGATTTTTAGTACTAGAACTACATGATGGCTGAAATATGTGGCATGATACAATAATGATTCGTCGTGTCTCTTTCTTAGTAAGGCCAGTAGTCCTATTATTTTTTGTACAAAATAGTTTTCTGCTTTGGTAGTTATGTACTCACCAATCAACCTAGTAAAATTGTGCATTTCTAAAGGCTCAGGATAGCATCTTTGCAGAAACTCTACTAGAGTGAGTTGTATTGAATACCATTTTATTTGTTTTTTCAGCCTGTTGATAGAGAGGAGACTGAAATGGATTCACCTATGGATGTAAGAGTCTCATCAGCTGATAACAATGCAAATCACCAACCAAATGCTTAATGTTTTCTTTGTGAACTACTTTTAGTGCTTTTCATGTCTTTGAATTTGTAATGGTTGTCTAGAGTTGTGTTTACTATGCTTTAGTTTGACGTTCAGTACTTAAATTTGTGACTTTTGCTATTATGGGTATTCTAATGGTAAATCTTTTTATGGTTTACATAGAGATTGTTCAATGGATTATTTATGCATATGATTTAAATTTTTACTTAAGTTGATATATTCTAATATCCTAAGGTCATGTTACAAATAGGTTCAGAAAGTTTATTTCTGATATGGCAAGATTCTTACATAGAACAACTAAATTATTATTTCTCTATTCTTACTACAAAATACCAAAACACGGCTCATGAACCATGTCTGAGATCTCATAAAGTTTCCTATTAGGACATCATCTAAGTTGGCTCCTATAATGACTATAACTATCCTTGCATGAAACCTAATCCATAGTTATTGTAAATATGCTGATTAAAATTCTACAGATGAAGTCCGAGCTACTGCAGTACATGTTACTTGCTAACTTCATCGTACTTGCAGAACTACTCTGTCATGATTATGTGGATCCTTTTAAAGGAGTCATTCTCTTAATTTCTTTGAAATGCAATAGTCAGCAGCCTTAACAACATAATCTTATAATCGCCTGTAGTTGATTTTATATCACTTATTTATTCTCTTTGCTAAATTCAGCATTAGTGAGTTAGTGCTCTTCAAGTCTTCATTTTTTTGTGGTGAGGAAGAAC